CTTCCCTACTTTGGTGAAGGAAATAGACTTGCAGGTCCAGGAAGCACAGAGTCCCAAACAAGATGGTCACAAAGAGGCCCACTCCAAGACACATCATAATTAAAATGCCAAAGGTTAAAGATAGGGAAAGAATCTTAAACGCAGCGAGAGAAAAGCAGTTAGTCCCCTAGAGGAAAGTTCCCATAAGACAGTCAGCTGATTTCTCAAAAGAAACTTTGCAGGCTGGAAGAGATTGGCAAGAAACAGTCAAAGTCATGAAAAGCAGGGACTACACCCAAGACCGCTCTACCCAGCATAGATATCATTTAGAATTGAACGGCTTCCCAGACAAGAAAACACTAAGAGTTCATCGTCACCCAACCATTATTATATGAAATGTTAAATGTTAAATTTCATAATATGAAATTTAAGAAAAGGAAGATCAAAACTATGAACAATAAAATGGCAATAAAAACATATCTATCAACAATTGAATCAAAAAACAAAGTAAGCATACAAGAACAGAGTCAGAAGCACAGATATGGAGAGTGTTTTCATGGTTGCCAGATGGGATGGGGGGGGTGTGGGGGAATGGGTGAAGAGGTGAGGGGATCCAGAAGTACAAATAGGTAGTTAGAGAACAGCCATGGGGACGTAAGGTACAGTACAGGAAATGGAGCAGCCAAAGAACTTACGCACATGACCCAGGGACATGAACAAAGGAGGGGGGATCACCAGAGGGTGTGCGGTTATGGGGGAGGGGAGTGGGAAAATTGGGACAACTGTAATAGCAGAATCAATAAAATTTTTTAAAATTTTAAAAATAAAAAACTACAGAAAAAGAGATTCTAAAGTTAATCTTGAAAAATAAAATGTGCATATAGTGAGAAAAGCTATGAAAACAAACTATTTTGGGAAATGGGGGCATTGAAGGGGGACGTGTCACCTAGATGTTGAAGTAATCTGTAAAGTTACAGTAATTCAGACAGCGTGAGAGGGGTGCCAGGCTAGACAGACCAATGAACCAGAAGGCTCAGAAACAGCCAAAGGATATACAAGGCTAAAGAACGACGCAGTGTAACACACAAATTATGATAAAGGTGATTGGGTATACAAAGGATTCTGGGAAAACACTCATGTGAAAAAAGTAAGATCCCCCATCTCACATGAGAATAAAATATACATTTACATATTAAAAATAAAGACAAAAGTAATAAAAGAAAATGCAGATATATATTTTTAACATCCTAGGTTGCAAAAAAACTTCACAGCCAGAAACTGTAAAGGAAAGATTAACTTGACTGGGAAGGAAGGAATTTTCTTTTTAATGGAGTCAAGTCTAAGACAGATGACAACTAAAGAAAAAGTAGATATTTCACTAAGTTCATTTCCTTTGTATAATAGATATGGGTTTTTTTTACAACCAATAAGAAAAAAATAGAAAAACGAAGAGGCATTCATAAAAGAAATGCCAATGTCAAAATAAAAGTCATGGAAACATATTCAGCATCACTAGTTAAAAAAATAAAAACTTGCTTCACAAAAATGAACTCAAAATGTATAAGACCTGAATGTAGAACTAGACTGAAGAGCTAGAACTATAAAAATCTTAGAAGACAACACAGGTGTAAATCTTCGTGAGCTAGGACTCATTAATGACTTCTAAGACAGGACACCAAAACCATAAGCAGCCAAGGGAAAAAAAAACAGATAAATTGGACTCCATTGAAATTTAAAACCTTTGTACTTCAAAGGACACCACCAAGAAAGTAAAAAGATAACCCACTGAGTGGGAGAAAAAATTTTGCAAATCATATATATGATAAGGGACTTGTATCTAGATTACATAAAAAAACTATTACAACTGAAAAATTTAAAAAAAGCCCAATTTTTAAATGGGGAAAGGATCTGAACAGATGTTTCTCCAAGGAAGATAACAAATGGCCAACAAGCACATAAAAAAAAAGTTCAACCTCATTAATATTAGGGAAATGCAAATCAAAACCACAGTGAGATACCACTCCCCACCCACTAGGATGACTATAACCAAAACCAGAAAGTAACCAACGCCGATGAAGATGTGGAGAAACTGGAACCCTCACACATTGCTGGTGGGAACATAAAATGACGCAGCCGCTTTGGAAAACGGTCTCACCAGGTTAAATACAGAGTTACGTGATTTAGCAATTATACGCCCAGGTATCCACCCAAGAAAACAAACACTTGCACACAAATGTTCACAGCAGCATTACTCATAATAGTGGAAAAGTGGAAACAACTCAGATGGCCATCCAAAGTGAGTGACAGACCAAATGTGATACCTCCATACAATGCAATACCATTCAACAACAACAAGGAATGCAGCAGTGACACACGCTGCTACGTGGATGAACCTTGAAAACATGATGCTATGTGAAAAAATCCAGTCACAAAAGACTCCACAGTGTGTGACTCCACCTATATGAACTGTCCAGAATAGGCAACTCTACAGAGGCAGGAAGGGGATCAGCGGACGCCAGGCACTAGGGAAGGTGGAGGGTTTGGAAGTGAAAGGCGAGCCGCGGAGGAGGTTTCTCTTGGGGGCGATAAAAAGGTTCTTAAATGAGCCCTGCAGATGTATGCACAACTGACGCATACGCTGAAAGCCCTCAACTTGTATATTTTAAATGGGGAGATTCTATGGCATATGAATTGTATCTTGACAAAGTTATTTTAAAAAAATAAAAATTTAAACAATAATTACATTCCATGTTTCGTGGGTCTCCATCTGACGACAAACTCTCCAGGGTAGGGGTCCCTGTCTGCCTAACAACCCCTCACCTTCCCAAGGGCACCCCTCAGGCCTTATAAAAAGACTAACACAAAGATGATGCTTAATAATAGGTAGAAACCTCCTAGCAAAGTTGCTGTAAAATCGATTTCTACAGGGGGAATGTTTTTTCTGTTGTTTCCAGTTTGACTTTCTTGTTTAAGTCAGAGATGCTCTCCTATATTAAACCTCTCCCCAGCCCACACATGCACTAAGAATTTATGAAGAAATTTAAGACTCCACTAGCTTCTCAAATACCTTCCTACTCAACTACGTCTCCCCAGACCGTAGGAAACCATACTTTGGGTCACTCCGGGGCATTCTGAAGACTCTCGCATATTCTCTTTCATTCGGGCTTCAGTGTCTAGAATGCGACTATGTTTCATCAGCAGGTGTTGCTACCTAACCTTTGGTAGTCAAGGACCAAACCTGAGATACACTATCGGCCAGGAGAGGAGCACGACTTCCCTTAAGCAAGTGTTGGCTACGCATAGAGAGCAACTTCCCCCCAAAGAGTACAGTATGGAATGGGTGAGAAAAGCAGGGTAAGGGCACAGTGGAGACACCTGCCAGGCACTATGTCCAGTCAGGTGATCAAGGTTCACATCAACAGTGACCAACACTGCTGACAGGAAATAACCTTGACAAGATGCAAAGAGAATGGCCCTTTACCTCTGTGCTTGTCCTCCCGCAAATGCGTTACCCCAGTCTAATTACGAGGGAAACATCAGATAAATTTCAGCTGAGGGACATTTTACAAAACGCCTGAGGAGTACGCCTCAGAGCTCTCGTGGTCGTCAAAACCCAGGAGAGCCCAAGGAGCTGTCACAGCCACGCAGAGCCTGCAGAGAGCCCATCGCTAAACGTGACGCAGTGTCCGGGTGTGGTCCAGGGGCAGAGGAGGGACATCAGGCAAAGACAGAGGGAGCCTGTAAAGGACTTTTAGGCCATAACAATGCACCACGACAGGTTCATTCACCGTGACAGGTGTCCCACACTAAAGTGTTAATAAGCAAAACCGAGTGTGGGGTATATGAGAACTCACTGTACTCTTCGCAATAATTCTGGGATTCTAAAACTGTTCTGAAGTAAAAAGTCTATTTAAAAAAAAATAATTCACTAGCTGCCAACTTTGCCAAACTAAGATTTTTTTTTTAAAGACTCTATTTTAAGGAATAGTTCCAACAGTTCCAAAGCAATGGTTTCTTCTTCAGGCGTGTTTTTAAGTGATTCTAAGACAGAAAAGCAAAACGCCAGGCCTGGAGAGCAGGGGGATGCACGGTCGAGGGGGAGGGGGAGAAGAACAGAGTCCCAGCCCAGCCCTCCGTCCTGTCACAGGCCCAGCCACCCGGCTTTCACCGTGAAAACCAAGGAAACCCCTAGAGTGTCCTGCGCGTTCAGCCTCGTCCACCCAGGGGTCAAAAAGAAGTGTTAGACGATGCGGTGGCAACAGGAAGATTGGCAGGGCTAACAAGGTATTCAACCAAGGTTATTATGGAAAGATAAAGCCCCGCTGAAGAGGTTTATGGCCTAAGTTACCCTAAAGCCACCAAAGCCCCAAGAAATGTCTGGAGTGTAGTTATTATTTCTACTAAAAAAATGAAAAGGAATCAGAAAAGCCCTGAATGTGTACGCTGATTTTGAGTAGTCTTTCCAATTTTATTTGCTCTGATTCTGTTTAAAAATGTGCAGATGTAAGTAATAGACACATATTATGCTGCTTATGCACATAGAGGTAAGATGGCTTTGGGGTTTGCTTTTTACATGGAAAACTGGTTCGGTGGACTGTGCGCTAGACTCCTGCTCCCGATTCCTCCTGTCTAAAGAAAGCCCAGCCCGCTGGGATCGAGGCGCCGCTCTTCACCTGGGGCAGCTCTCCAAGCCTCGAGGACAGTCTCTAAGAAGGGGAAACAGTCTTTAAAAAGGCAGCAAAAGAGAACTAGAACTCTCCATACTTCAAAAAAATTATCATAATGCAAGTGAAAACCTATCCCATCCCACACAAGAAACCAGCATACCGTATAGCAAACCAGAAACCAAAACCCAAAAGGTAAAATATATTATGCAGTATCCATAAACGTGTGATGGGTAGATCTGCTCCAAAACCTAAGGCGGAGTTTGCCCATCATTTAAGGGGTAAGAGTTGAATGGCCAGTCTCAGGGAAGACAATGCAGGAAAATGAGTAACAAGCTATAATGACTTAGTACCTACGGGAATGAGATGAGTGGGCTGTGATTCTTCCAGTTTGCTCCTCAACCAGTCAAAATCCTGGTATCTTCGACGGACCGAATATTCAGGCAGGTCAAACTCCACCCGCGTACTCTGCAAAGAAGAATGGAACAAAATGAGCATAAGGGAATGGAAGCCTAGCTTGGCAGAAGGGGAGGAAAAAGCTCTCTGTGAATAACTAAACTGGGCGTGAACACACTTTCCTTCCACCGAACACACCAGCCAAAGGGCAGGGCTTACCAATGCAAAATGACAAGGCTGGGTCACAGGGCCCAGTTACAAAATCAAGGATCTAGAATGAAAATGTCCACTTTTTTTTTTTAAAATTTCTACCCTCAGGAAATGGAACCCAGCTATCCCTCAGAACTGCGTTCAGAAGCATTTGATTCATTTCCTCCAAGCTTAATTAGCAGAATCATTCCGCTGAGGATATCGCTACTGAATCCGAATCTAGCTCAGTTGGTCAGAGCATCATCCCAATGCACCAAGTTTGTAGGTTCGATCCCCAGTCAGGGCACAGGCAAGAATCAATCATTGAACAGATAAATAAGTGGAGCAACAAACTGATGTTTCTCTCTTGCCTCCTCTCTCTCTAAAATCAGTATATAAAGTAAAATAAAAAATACAAAAAAATAAAAAAAGAAAGAACAGACCACTTGCTCAGTTAGAAGACAGATTAGATGAAAATAGAAAAGCTTTTGCCTCATCTGCCACATTCTGGCCAGAACCATAACTTTAAAATTATATTGTATTTTAGATAATAAGAAAAAAATCTACAAGGAAATAATTCCAAACTGTCATTGTATTGAAGAAAAGTATTTATGTCATCTCCCTTCCTGAATTTAAGTTTTCCGAAATGTAAGTGTAGCACTTTGATCATGAAAACCCAGGTTAAATGAAATTAAATTAATATACAAGAAAACAAGATTTTTCCACATTAATTTGCCACCAGTGGTCCCAGCACCAAAACCAGATTCAATTGTATGTACATTATGATTTCACTGGTGTTAAAAATGTGGATATAAATTAGGGGAAATATCTAGAACTGGTAATGACAACTGTCCTCTTTACACTCATCCTCATTTCCAAATTTCCTACTATTCTCATACCATGCTTTAACAGTCACACACACACACAAATTGCTCTTTTTTTTTTTTTTTTAATAGTTCCTTTAAGGACAAAGGGATTTAACAATGCAGTAAAACTTGTTTGAAGCTTTGGAAATTAATAAGATAAAAAATAAACATCATAATGCAGAAGGGTGCTCACACTCTGACCCAATATTTATTTTACTTATTTTTACCACGGCTCATTCTAGAAAAGAGATAGTGACACGTGAAGTACGATCAAATGATATAAATTAGAAGTAGGTGAGAAAGATAAAGGAAAAACAAGGACAGAGAGAAACGCAGAGCTAGGAACGAGGCTAGCAAAGCACACTCACCTCAGAACTCTGCACACTTGCTAAAACTGGGCCACGGGCGTTACTGAATTTCTAGAGAGAAACCCAGTCACAGCACAGCACTCATAAAACATGCAAGCCATTAAAACCCCAACTATGACTTTGTAGTAAAGTTTTCCTCTGTGAAATTCTGGGTCTAACTTAGGAAAATAAGGTAATAAGTGTTTATCTCTATTTTCTAATACTGTGGTAAACAAAATAGTAAAAAAGAAAGAAACGCGCACACCTGCAATTCATAGTCAGAGACAAACACTGTGCCGTTTTGTCCTGTGTATTTCCATACCTGTGTTCCATCATCTAGGATACCCCACAAACACCACGAGGTCATGGGTTCACAACTAAAGTCATACAAATAGGTAACCGCGCACACGAGTGGTAAAGAATGTTCATTTCACCATCGTGCCTTATGGATATCTTTGTGGTGATCTCTAGGCAACCCTGCCCATTTTTTTTAACACTTTCTTAGACCTAGTACAGAGCCAGGGAAAGAAACGCCCATGGAAGAAAATAGGCCTGAACCCTAAAGAGGGGAATTAAAAGGGGAAGCTTGTCGATGTGCACACAGAGGACTAATCAATCACCCAGGAGGTGCCCTGTCCCCGGAGCCTAGTCCTCCCAAAAAAAGAATTCCTCTTGTTCTCCAAGTTAATACGTCCCATGCCTGTGACCTGGAGTCATTCCAAAGGATCGCCACTCAATCCAAAACTGACAACCAACTCACACTAGAGAGACTTGGTTTTTGTCAGTAATGCCATCTTTCCTGGCCATGGCTAAACCTTAAGAAGTCTGAGTGACCCTTCTTTTCCAAAGGGACCCCTTCCCTCATCCACCAGCTAAGCCCATTCTGCTTCAAAACCCCAGAGCCTTAGGAGGCCAGCTGAGAAAGGAGCCAGGAGAGGCTTTTGGCGCCTCCTCCTGCTCCTCTGGGCTTCCTTTAAGAGCTGTCACTTACCTCTTTTTTTGCAGATATTTCCGCCAAGCTCTCTGGAACACCCATTGCATCATTAACACTAAAGTCCTGTAGCTCTTCCTGTTCAAATTCTGCAAACAGAGAAGACAGCCTCCCCACTGTCCCAGCAAGTGGAAAGCTGCTCATTTTTTCACAGTTCACAAACCTCATTTCCAAGACCAAGGGTGGTCACTGACATCCTGCTCATTCCACACCGCTCCTTAGCACAGTGCTCCCCGGCTCCGTGAGAACCCTTTGAGGCTCATGCCGTCAAGCTACATCCACCTCTGTCCCTCCTCACGCCGTCACCTACTGACAGCCCTGTCCCTCCTCCTGACTCCTTGGCAGCACCCAGCTCTCAGGTTTCCTTTCCAGAGCCCTTCCATGGCCTGGGGACCCTCAAGAGCCAGGCGGCTCGCCCATACGACACCCGCCACTAAGCCCAACAAGGTCTCCTTCCCGCAGCCTTCCCACAAACTGTCATCACGAAGTGCCGACGTCTCCCTCTCTAACTGACACGTCCTACATTCCAGACTGCCATTTCCCGACATCCCCGGGTTTTCAGCCTCTTGAGACCTACAGTTCCTTGACTTTCTGTCCATTCCTGTCTTTACATCCTTCCTTAATCAGTGTCAATTCCATGAGCTGTCACGTCACCCTCTGACTTGCCACTATGCCCCACCCCATCACACAAGGCTAGTGGAAATGCAACCATCCGCTTCTTGTTTTAACAGACCTGCACAATCCTGAAGGCAAAGCAAAACCAGGAAAGCACACTGATCAATGCAATGCACGCCACAACTGGCCCCTCAAACGGGCGAGCGATCTTTCTACACTTCCTTAATCAATCCTCTCCCTCATTTTCCGTATCAGTTAATCCAAAGCCTGTACAAATTTTGAAAACGTCTAAACCCCACTTAAAAACGTTCCCGATCACTCTCAGTAGCAGACCTCACTATCTACCCACAGAGAAAAATGCAGCTATAAGCAAAGAACCCTCACATTTCTGCCACAAAAATGCCCTCCTTTCTCCAGAAACAATGAAAAAAAGAATTCCCCTCCCTCATCAAAGGCCACTCCCTCCCTCCACTTCGGTTCTGGGTACTACCTCCCGCCTCCCAGGTGGCTTTCTACTCTCCAATCTTTAACCTAGTATCTCCTTCTCTACCCACACTGTCCACCTGGCACTTAACCAGGTCTCTTCCATCCTTAAAAAACAAACGAAAAGCCCATCCCCCTCACACCCACGCCCCGCTCCACCTACTGTTCGTTCTCCATACTCGCTTTCATTGCCCAACTACCAACACTCATAGTGTCTTTTCTTTCTCACATGTCACTCACCCTCACTCACTGCAACTGGGCCCGCCCCCGCCCTGAAACTGCTCTCCCCCAGTCACCACTAACCTTCTTGTCATTAAATCTGATGTTTGCTTTGTAATCCTGATCTATAACTTGACCTCTGAGCAGCATTTAGCCTGTTGACCGCTGAGGCATTAGAAAAGAAAACTTGCTGGGCCTAAGTCTTGGTAATGACTAATCTGGCGATGGGTGAAAGGCAAGAGGCGGAAAGGGAGCTGCAGGTCCCGCTTCGTGCCCAACCCCCAGTCTGCTGCCACCTCATCGCCGGTTTTAGCAGTCAGGCTGCGGGCGCAAACCACAGCGTCGGCGTGGCGTGGCAGGGCAGGGCAGGGGCCTCCCTCCCCTGATAATCCTGGCATGTCCTCGACTCAAGTTCTAGCTTCACCACGTAGTAGTTGCACGTCTGTGAGCAATTTTCTTCATGTCTCTGTGCCTCAGATTCCTCAGGTATACAATGAAAATACCACCAGTACCTAATTCATTGAGTGTGAAGATTAACTGATGATATATTTAAAGCACTTAGCACAAAATGAATGATGGCTCATCCATACTGTGGAGCAATACTGTAGTCTTCGAAATGACGGCATAAAAGCAGGTTTACTGGCATTTATTAGCACAAAAAGATATTTGCAACATACGAAGTGAACTGACAGCATGCAAACTAAGCATTTCTGTAAGTGAATAGAGACAAATAGTTCATAAAGTTATAAGTAATTATTTCTGGCTAGAGAGCTTAAAGATCTTTTATTTCACTGTTTTAGCTTACTTGCATTTTCCAATTTCTCTACAGTGAGCACATATTACTTACAGAAAATAAAATTTAAAGGACTTCTCTTGCAAACAAATCTAGCGCACGGTAAGTGTTCAATAATTAGTTACGATGATGACGTTACTTTCTAGGAGCTTGCCGAGAAAACTGCCAATTCAGCACGCCCTGAAAAGACCTCTCTCCACCATTGGAGAGACAAGACACCCACCACTTAGATTTGCTTTGCCTACACTGGCTCTCAGCCCTAGGCTCACTTTAGCTCAGCCAGGAGCAGCTCTGTACCTTGTCCTGCTTTGGTCATCAGGGATCTGAATTAGGACTGGGAGTCAAAGCTCAAAGTAATAGAATAAGGATACAGACGCCCTTGTCCTCTGACCATTAACTTTGCTTGAGAACCTCAGCGGAAGCAGGGGTCCCGGGACAAGATCAGGTGTTTGGGACCCTGTGTTCCTGTGTGTCCTCTCTCTCACCCCGACACTTCTCTGCATATCCTTTCACACAGCATTCAGAAAGAAGGCTCCAAATGTATCGCCAAGATAGCAAACTTGATGTCGCTGTTTGAAAAGCAAAGGACTCTGGTTTGAGAAGTAGAACTGACAATAATAAGTAAAACTTAATTTTGCACCAAGTTCACCTGGAGATGTTAACATCGCAGCCAAGTGAAAATGGGGGACTGGAACTTGCAAACGGTCATCCTATGACAGTACATGACTTACAGAAAAGCAAACAGCTCCCATGAAAAGAAACAGAAATATGCGCGCAGAGAGAAAGGGGAAGAAAGGAAAGAGAGGAGGCACCGAAAAGAGTGGTGAGCTGTCGCAGGTGCCTCTGCCTGTGAATCCGTGGACAGAGGTCCTGCGGGATTGGCATTTGGGGAGGTCAACTGCAGGGCCAAAGCGGGGCCGGAACCATCACGGGAGGCAAGCACTGCTGTGCCAACCACGCAGTCACCTTGCTATTCAGCTGCTCAGAGCACACGGTCAAGAAAAACAGGTTTTGCATTTCACTGACTGCAGGGTAAAAAATAAATAAATAAATTGACCCCAAAGGGGAAAAAATAAGTAACTGGAAATACTTTATGGGAATACATATATCAACCTAGGACCTCTGAGGAGATAATACACTTCTAGGCCTCTAGCCCAATGCCTGGGAAATGGAAGTTTTCCTGTGGCCACGGTAACGGGGAAGACGGTGTGAGTGCACGTGCCCATGACAATTCTCAAATGTGAGCCCGGTGTGAGAAGGACACAGCAGTAACATCACAGGGGCCCAACAGAAAGTCAGTAAATATTAGTTCCTTTTCTTCTTGACTCCTTCTGCCCCCCACCAAATCTAATTATACCAAATTATAAGCATGGTCCCATCACAGAGATTTAGGTTAACACAGTGATCCATAAATTTCAAGTGTATTGTGATATTAATATGTTAAGTAGTATCATGACCAAAGATAAGTGAAAGTAGAGTTGACCCTTGAACATCACGGGGGTAAAGGGAGCTGACCCCTCCACCTGTATATAACTTTTAATTCCCCAAAACTTAATTACTAATAGCCTCCTGGTAACCAATAACATGAACAGTCAACACATATTTTACATGTTACGTGTATCGTACACTGTATTCGTACAATAAAGTAAGCTAGTGAAAAGATAATATTATTATAAAAATCATAAGAGAAAATACATATACAGTATTTACTGAAAAAAATCCATATATAAGTGGAACCACACAGTTCAAACCCATGTTGTTCAAGAGTCAACTACATAAGGATTAAATGTTTTCTTTGAAAAACCATAGTCACAATTTATCCTTCATTTTAAGATTTAAAAAAGCTCACATATTATATAATCCTTCTAAGTTTAATACATTCACTCTCTCAGAAAGCTACAGCCACGATAACAACAAAGGGGAACAGAGTTGTACCAAAAGAAAGAGAAAGCAAAGGCAGAAATTATAGAGGTGGGACTCATTCTCCAAGGCCACTTGCAATGGGCATAAGACAACAAAGGGACCTACTTTGGTGGTGATCCTATATGTGATGTAGGTCTCCATTGTACAGACATGCTTCTTGGGGTCATCAACTGTGACAAACAGATCTCTGGTCTCACCATCAATGTCATCATCAAGTTGAAGCCTGTTGAGAAGGGAAGATGACGAAGCCGGACTCGAAGTACCTGCCGGAGTACCGCCGTTGGGCAAAATGAGATCCTGAAAGCAGAAAGGAATTGTCTTACAAATTAAATGAAAACATACACTTTGAAAATACCAGCAAAAGAAGCTAGTTTAGCCAAGCCAAGAAACACCTCTCAATAAAAAAAGACTTTCAAGGAATCTGAGCCTCTCCTTACATAACAGTTCTTAAGTGAACAGGTCTTTCATGACCAAGAGAAACAAACTAAATTCACACTGATTCACCTTTCAGCAAGGACTGGAGGAATCAACAGAAGCAAACATTGCAGGGACAGAGAACACAACAGCCCCCACCATCATCAGTCTCAACAGAGGAAGAACGCAGCCGGCACAACATATTCTCTTCCCCACTTTCTCAAGAACACCACCTGGGCCCAGGGAAACATTACGGGACCTGAACGCTCCAAAATCCTTAACACATTTTAAAAAATCAATCAACCAACACAGAGAAACAACTAAACATTATGTGCCTCCTGAAAGAAGTTCATTCACAAAACCACCTATGAAGCACGCTCACCAAAAAATATTGCACCCAGGTCCTCACCAAATCTCTATTAAGCAACACCAGTTTACAGGAAATACAAACGAATGAGGAAGATATTAAACAACATTGTGAGGATGCAATCAGCAAAATCCACACTATCGGAAATTAAAGAGAATTAAAGGCTCAGTTTCTTCAATACATAAGTTGCAAGGGAAAAAAAAAAAAGGGATGGGAGCACCTAAAGATACAGAGAAACTTGAGAGACCTGTAACAATTGCAATGGAACCTGATTAAAATAAAATGTTAAGAGATTTTGAGATATTCAGAAAAATTTAAGTATTGATCAGTTATTGGATGACATTAAGAAATTATTAGGTGTGGTAATAGAAGTATTAAGAATTTACAAAGTATTAATCTTTTAGAAATACATATTAAAATATTGATGGATGAAATGACAGGATGTCTGGTATTTGCTTCAAAATAATTAAGGATGTTGACACTGGTAACCGCGGGTTCATTATAAAATTCTCTCCTTTCTGGTTGTATATGTTTAAAATTTTCCACAATTAAAAAAAAATGGTGGGGGGAGGTGGCAAATGCCAGGGAAAAAAGGGAAGAAAAAAAATTTTTTTTTAATTACTGGTAGGGACTTTTTTCTCTTTAGGCGTTAGTAAGAAACCATTTGAAAAAAACTCTATCCCTAATATAAAAAAAAACAGTGCAATCTAACAGCTACCTTTTTCTGTTCGTGTTTTTTTTTTTTCTTACTTCTTTATTCCCACCACTTTCCCTTGCCCCCTCCCTCCTTCCCTCCCTGAGCTCTTCCCCTTTGGTTTTGACCATGAGTCTTTGCTGTACGTTCCTCGACTTTCCCCTTCCCTTCCTTTTCCCTGCCCCCGCTCCCTCCTACCCTCCTGTTTCTGTTTGTTTTTGTTTTAAGGTTTGATAAGAGACAAAGCCCAGTCTGGATGTGAAAACCTCTGAACTGACTGTGACTTAGGAATCATTAGGAGGCAGGCTCTGAGTCACGTGGCGAGAAAGCGACGTGACACCCTGGAAAGCGCCTTGATGAGGAACGCGGAGAAGATTCCTGGCCTGTAGGTCATCAGATCCCAGGGCGGGGGTGGGAGGTGCCTTCCCCTGAATTCTCTGTTCCTGTGTACAGGCTGGGCGTGACTGAGCCCCCAGCTTACAGGGCGTGCAGGGAATGAGAGGTCAACCGAGCAGTCACATCCATGGGACATCTAGGGAAAGGGCTGGGACAAGGCAGAGGGAAGCAAGGCCCTGGGGTCAAGGGCAATGCCACCAACTCTATAATTTAATTACATACGTGGTTATGCACCTGATCAGTTTCTCTCACTGATGTTTCTCTCCCTCTTTTTCTCCCTCCCTTCCCCTCTCTAAAAAGAAATAAATTAAATCTTTAAAAAAAATTTTGTAACTACTAAAAGGGTGCCATCTTCACAGAAGGTCCTCATGAGAATGGACTGCACCTCCACCTCTCAACGGCGAAGGCAAACCCCTCAGCGGCCACTCACGGTGGGGAGGTTACCACGAGCCTTGCCACGGCAGCAACCAGCGGGCTCTGCCGGCCCTCTCAGCACGCGGACACCACAGAGCATGCAGGGTCCACTCCCTGGGGTCTGGGGATCTGAGAGAGACACCTCTGAAGCTCTGAGACAACCATCATGTGGTCATTATTTCAGTAAATATTTAAACAGGCACCGCGCTTGGCACTGCAGGAGCCCGCCCTTATACTTTGTCAACACCCGCATGCTGGGCCCCAGAGTGGCTCTATCGGTGGCTAAACACAGGACCGAAACAACGCAACATCTGCAGTCAGACAAGCCACCAGCAGCGTCCACGGCAGCTTTCCATCATCTGGCCTGCACCAATCTTAGCAGCTTCATTTCTCATGGCACCAGCTGCTGGAACCCGGATCCGGGCTTACAAAGCCCTCTCTTCTTTTTTTACAGCTAGGTCTTCAAGTATCTCACAGGAATCTACTCAAATCCCCTTCCTCTTGGAATCCTCCCTCGATCTACTCCTTGGCAGAATTAGTCACCCCCTTCACAAAACTCTGAAGATCCTTCCCCTGAAGCAACTGTCACAGTTTTAATCATTATTTTGATATGTAACATCCACACACACTGTGAGTGCCCAACAACTGTAATTGTGCATCGTTGATGTGTGTGTGTGTGTGTGTGTGTGTGTGTGTAATTGTCTGCCCATTTGCAGGTCTCCTGTGACTCCCAGCCGACCTCCCTAACCTTTGCTACGGGGACTTCAGCCAATGACCTTCTAGGAACATCCCACATAAAGTCTGCAATGTTTTGGCCGGACAGTGGGACATTAACTATTTCTCAAATCAGTTAGGGGGTGAGGGAGGGGACATTCAGCCAGCTGGATGCAGTCTCACACTGCACGTTCTTTCCCTTAGGACTCTGTGACCAAGGAAAACACTCGCACTGTTACTCCGGGCGTTTCACAGAAAGTCATTTGAGCATACACAGTCAACAAGCCGCAAGTATCTGCCACTTCCTAAAGAAGGGATGCTTCTGGCTCAGATTTCCATGGCCCCTCTGGACACAGTGCTTCCGCATTCTTATTTCATTGCACCCCATACCAGCCTCATGAAGTTCACAGGACAGATACGGTCTCTGCTGATGAGGTAGTGGGTCCAAAATGGTTAAGTAATGTGTTCAAATGTATCAACGCTAGTCATCACTATACCAAGAGTCAAGCCAGGTTTCTGGTTCTGAGTTCAAGGTTCTTATCAAACAGAATCCCCTCTGCGTGGCTTTTCCAACCCAACACTGCCCCTCATGTCCACTCTCTGGCATAAAGCCTTTTGGGTAAATGTGAAGCTTCTGCTTTTAAAAAGCCATTCAAGGAAAGCTAACATTCTCCCTAGAGTTATTTCCCCAATGAGTCCCCTCAAGATACGGTCCCCATGAGAAAGAGACGTGGAGAGAAAATAGGAAAGCCCGAGGAGGGCAGGGCGGAGGGTTAGGTGGCTGGCGCCACCAGGCCACCCCGCTACCCGGGTCCTCCAGCAGCCAGTCTGCCAGGCCGGGAGACCCGAGTCTGGAGCAGGTCCTGTGGGTCAGCGGCACCTTCCTGACCAACGTGAAGCTGAAAATTTGAGAAGTGAGAGATCCCCCTAGCTCAGCACCAAAGCCACCTGTTCTATTTTTGCCACCCTATAGCCAGTCCTCCACTGCAGCCACAGTGCTCTTTGAAAAAGGTTAATCATTATTAAACACAGTTAATAATACTCTATTGCATATTTGAAAGCTGTTAAGAGAGTAGATCTTACAAGAGAAAAAGCACTTCAGAAGAGCTTGACAAAGCCTCTGAGGCAGCCTCGCGGTCCGGGGGAGACAGGCGGCACTCTCAATGCGCGGGCTGCACCCACTTGCCCTCTCCCCACCCCCCCCCCCCCCAACCAGCACACAGGAGATGCCTGAAGAAGGAATGTGTCCTGCACAAACAGAACAGGACATTCTTGATGGCTGACTTTGTTGAAAAGTTATATTTAAGCCCGCTTTGGACAATAAATTCAAAGGAAAATTCCCAAACATGTCCTGTTCAAAGATGTTCCTAACAGCAACGAACAGAGTAAACTCTGGAAAAACCCCAAAGGCTCAGTAACCAGGAAATGACTGTGTTTACCAATAAGAATGTTACACATTCATTTTAAAATTACAAATCTGGACCTGGCTGGGTGGCTCAGTTGGTTGGAACATCACCCCGTGCACCAAAAGGTTGTGGGGTTTGACCCCCTTCACAGGGCACACATCTAGGCTATGGGTTTGATCCCTGGTTGGGGCATGTAAGGGAGGCGGCCAATCGATGTTTTCTCTTTCTAAATTCAATATACATATCCTTGGGTGAGGATTTTTTCTTTTTTAATTACAAATCTTGACTTCTAGATAAACTCTGAATTGAGTACAGTCCTTCGCTTTCTTGCTCTTTCCGCCCTCTGGGTGCTAACTTAACAATCTAGAAAATGAGAAAGAAAGAGCAGGGGGGAAAAAATAGAAAAAAAGAAACAGTGACTGGAGTTGTGCCAGATTGGAAACTAGAAAAGGGTGGCATCCAAAACTTTCAGAGATTTTCTACTGGGATTTACCCCATGTACTGTCACTTACATTATCAAGGTTCCCTAAGAAGCAGCAAATGTCCTGAACTCCTCACATCTTCTCTAATTGGAAAGTGCAGTCATCTAGGGAGCATGGGAGAGTGGACAGGCCGACCGTGGGGCAGAGCAAGACCATCAAGAATGTCTCGCGGTATCAACAAGGGGATGGATGGCAAGCTCAGGTGGACGCACCCTGCGAGGGCGACCAGCAGAGGGCGCCCCGCCCACGTGGCTTCATCTCATCATGCCCCGTAGCGATGCCACAGAAAGGTCTGAGCGGCATGAGGGCAACTGGGTCAGCTGCCCTGGGCAGGCCCACCAAGCACAAAACAGGGAAGACTGCCAGGGGCGATCTCTGCCCCGACGGGGAGAGCTCCTGAAACAAGGAGG